CTGATGGTTTAGAGTTTACTGAGGTACTTTTGATTATGTTGGTAATTTCATTTTCTAAAATGTAATGCTTCATATTTGACGTTTGTTTGAAAGATGATGTAAGTCACAATAGAATATAAAGTTTTTTAGCTACATTTTGACTCTGAACAGGCAGTTTCCCAAACCTCCAAACCTCTGTAAATTCATTCAGGCATGATCTTTATCACATTTTGTCGATTTGCACCTGATTGGTGCCAATAAAATCAGTGCTTCCCTTTTTATTATCTTAACTTTTGCTAGAACTTTTCATGTTCTGGTACGCATAGATACCTCAACTAGGTATATACAGTAAGAAATAATACAGTCACATATATGGAACTGAAATTCTCAATGAAGTATTTCATATTGCTAACAGCTGTCAACAACAGGTCACAGCAAAGTCATTAACTTTCCATTCCACAGCAAGTATTTCATACTCCTCATGTATGTCACAGAAATGTTTCAGAGTGTCAGCAGGGAATACCACAGAAATAAGCTCTCAGCTCCCATGCACTGTGCATTGCTCCTGTGGACAAAGCTTTGGGAATGCTTCAGTGTTCACCCATTCCACAAACAGCAGGATATCAAGGAAGTCTTTTATCTTTTGCTGCTTTCTTCACGCCTTGGGAATGATCAGCTTCACTCATGTTTTTCTCTACAGCACCTGCTGAGAGTGCAGATACGTACAGGGATAGGAATTATACTCAGGATATGTATCCATGAGGAAATTTATAGAAACAGAAATATAATTAATCACCAAGGTACAGCTTGGTAAGTAATGTGTGTACTGAAAATACATATATAGAAAAGATGTACAAGAAGACAAATTATGACAATCTTGTCAGTGTAAAGATTAGCTAATTGATTGATACATGGTATAAGTTCCAAATTTTATTCTTGTGCACATATATTTTGTATTAGAATGGGAAGCAGAAAAGGCATAGCTGTAATAAACACTAGGAATTCTTAAGGTTCAGTTCGAGGAGCATAAAATGCTGTTGACATATCCACAGACAATTTTTTGGAATCCTGCAGGGGCTCCCCAGTTCCCCATTATTTGTGTTATACATAGATATGTATATTTATATATATATAGCCATGAACATAGATAAACATAATATATGTGTACATATGTGCATGTTACACACTGCGGTGTTCCCCGGAAGGAAGGGAAACCTTTTGACTTTTCCTGACACTATGTTTGACACACTAATAGTTGAGCAGTTCCAGTTCCATTTGTAAAGGACTACAATGTATATTCAGTGGATATATTAGCTCCTTGTAGCCTTGCAGCAAAGTTTTGAACTACCCAGAGTTAGGTGAAGATACTTAGCATTTGCTTCAGGTAAGGGGTCTGAGGGCATTTTGCCTGGTAACATGCATTTTTGGAAGCAGCATTTCTTCAACAGTTAAAGCGGCACATGCTTTTTAGCTAATGACTGCACCGTGTGCAAAATATATTGCATATGTGGTGGTCACGTGCACTGATAAATTATATTTACCATGCACTGTGGAGTGTCTCACCTGCAGTTTGTCCCATTAGTCTATCTTCCCAAGTATTTATTCTAACATTTCAAACATCTAAGCAGCTTCAAACAGCTGTTGTTTTTTTTTTTTCCCCAAACCCATCAAAGATGGATTTCTTTCTTTACTCCAAAACAAGAATTTTCTCTTACCAGATTACTATTATCCAAAAGATATAAGGATGAAATTTTGCCCTGAACCAAAGCGTAGTATCTCACATACCTCATCAAAGTGCAGAATTTCACAAGCAGCTTTTGTAACGTGCCTAAGCAAAGAAGAAAATTGCTATGTTCTCAAGAAAAACCCTTTCTGACATGTTCAGATTTCAAAGTCATAGCATTTTTATCTGTAGCAGCACTACCTGCACTCTATAACTTCCTGAAGAGAGGTTTTGATGAGGAGGGGCTTGGCCTCTTCTCCCAGGCAACAAAAGGACCCGAGAAAATGGCCAGAAGTTGTACCAGAGGAGGTTTAGATTAGACATGAGGAAAAACTTTTTCTCTCAGAGAGTGGTCAGGCACTGTAATGGCCTGCCAAGGGAGGTGGTGGAGTCGCCGTCTCTGGCAGTGTTCAAGTGGTGTCTGGATGAGGAGTTATGAGATGAGGTTTTGTTGCTTATGGTAGCAGTGGTAATGGGAGGATGGTTGGACTAGATGATCTTGTAGGTCATTTCCAACCTTCTGATTCTGTGATTCAATGATCCTGTACCTCTGATGAGTTTTAACAGAATAAGTTTTTAGAAGGTTCAAATATTTACTACTAGTAATTCTCCCTTTGAAATTGTATGGTTGAGTTAGCTGTATGCTTAGTAGTACCTGCTGTTAAAGATCAAGGCTATGAGAAATAGTCCCAATAATATTTTTGAACATTCAGATGTTTTGCATTTATTAAATGTACTAGAGGGGCAAACTGAATTCAAAATGTCTGAAGTAGCATAAATTTGTATTGGCATTCACTTGATTTGTACTACCTAATTCATTATTCAGATCAATGCCTCTCTTTTTTTTTTTTTTTTTTTTTTTTTTTTTTTTATTCTTTTTTTTTTTTTTTTTTTTTTTTTTTTTTTTTTTTTTTTTTTTTTTTTTTAGCTACTTAAAATAAGGGTCATTTGAAGGTAATACTATCAAGTGTTTTTTTCACCTATGCAAATTTAAGCATATTAGTCATTTGCTATGACTTTTACTCCTATTTTTAAACATCTGTCTTCTATATTCTTTCTCATGACTTTCTTAAATTTCTTTTCTTTTTTTTCTTTTTTCTTTTTTTTTTTCCTTTTCCTCCTGGGTTTATTTTTCACAGTTTCTGTTACGTTACAATGATCTTTGCCCATATGTTTGGGTGTGCATGCAAATGGGAATATGGGTCCTTGCATAGGGAGATGAAAACTGGCTTTGTTAATGGTATAGGCATCAGGTTGATTATCAATGGTAGTTTTTTGATACTCTCTGACTATGGAATAGAAATAAACACTGGGCAATCATGAAACATACCCAGTCAGAAATATAAAAAATGATGTTATTTATCCTCTTGCACTCAAATTTCTTTCACTGTGTTAGAACAGTTTCAGCAATTAAATAATTAATTTTGTTGACATTTAAGGAAGTGTTGACATGACTGATCATAGAAAACAAATAGAAATTCTCCCATGTTTTCAATTGACAAGAAAGGGAAGGCACAGAATGATTGAAGACTTGTATGAGTTATGAACTGGACTCACAGCGTGAATATGGGTGTCACACCCAAAGCTCTGAGCTGTGCTGCGCAGATGTGCTGGATGTGTGGGAAACATCCTAGCCAGTTTATCTTGGTGGATTGCCTGATGAGCAATTGCTGTTTCCCAAAAAAGTACTCTGGAACTTCTACAGCTGAGCCCTTCTAATTCATCAGGTGCCGGTAATTCAGTAATACTAAATGAAAATAAAGTAATGTAGGAATTATGGACCTATTACTACATAGGCTAGGCTGAATTTGTATTTGTATGGAAGGAGACTGTGTCTCATTTTACAGAAAATTGAAAGCACCAACGAGAGGAAAAGATGACACATCATGCAAAATCTGAATAGAAGACTACAAAAGCTAAATGAAAGTAAGGCATTTGCAGTTTTTATCTAGTTCAGCTTACATTCAAAGCAGAAAACAACTTTAGCAGTGCTGGACAAATTTATACAGTTTTAAAGTTTATGCAGAGGATAAATCTTCTCGAATATCTAATATTTGTAAGCCTGCTAATTCAGACTAATTGTTGGTAGAACAAAAAGTTTGGTATAAATGTTGCACAAGTTTCACAAGTCCCACAAGTTTCTCATAGAAGCATAGAACATCCTGGGTTGAAAAGGGCCACAGTGATCATCTAGTTTCAACCCCCTGCTATGTGCAGGGTCGCCAACCACCAGACCAGGCTGCCAGAGCCACATCCAACCTGGCCTTGAGCGCCTCCAGGGATGAAGCATCCACAGCCTCCTTGGGCAACCTGTTCCAGTGTGTCACCACCTCTGAGTGAAAAACTTCCTCCTAATATCTAAACCTCCTAAACATCTCCTGTCTTAGTTTAAAACCATTCTCCCTTGTCCTATCACTATCCATCTTGTAAGCAGTCATTCCCCCTACTGTTTATACCCTTCAAGTATTGGAAGGCCACAATAAGGTCTCCCAAGGGCCTTCTCCAAGCTAAACAAGCCCAGTTCCCTCCTTTCCTCACAGGAGAGGTGCTCCAGCCCTCTCATCATCTTAGTGGCCCTCCTCAGGACCTGCTCTAAGAGCTCTGCATCTTTCTTGTACTGGGCGCCCCAAGCCTGGACGCAGTACTCCAGAGCACATCTGAGTGCCCCTCCTAGTGCTGAATATGAATACTACATCGCATAATGCAGCTCTTTTAAGTTACTACTCAGTCTCTTTTAACAACTTGAAGGCATGCTGCCCTGCATATTTCTTTCAAACCTGATCTTTAACCCAAAGATTTAACCCAAAATTTCTTATCTACAGAACTTCAGTGCTCACGCAATTCACACGTTTCCACACGGGCTACAAAGTCTGTTGGTGCTGACAAAACAAACAGGTTTAGCAGATTTAGCACTTAAGCTTAGGCTGACCAGAGAGGTCAAAATTGACTTTATTCCTCGAGGGCCTGCAAGCTGGGCCACGGGCAGGCACACCCATCTACTGGGGCCACCTCATCATCTCTAACCCACCGATACCAACGGCCAGGGAGCCCAGTTCACCCTCACACAAGTCCCGCACAGGTCTGAGTGCTGCAGCACTAGGGAGCAGCGCCTGCGGACACAGAAAACAGAAACGTTTGGGCCTTCGGTCGCGAGGCACACGCGGGCTGACGAGCCGTCATTTCAACCCACGCAGAGCAAAGGGAAGCCCGAGCGGGACGACCCCCCGCGGGCGCTCAGCCGGGCCGTTACAGCCGCGCCACCCACATCCCTCCCCCGCCGGCTCCGCCCTCTGCGCACGCGCGCGGCTGTCACAGCCGGCTGCGCGGCGGCGGAACGCGCGAAAATTCCGAACCGGAGGCGCGAGCAGGACCGCGGGGTAAGCCGAGAGGAGTGGGCGGGGTCGAGGGGCGGGAGGGGAAGAGAGGGGAAGGGAAGAGAGGGAACAACGCCCTTTTCTCGCCCCTTCTCCGCCGCTCCCCCGTCGGTGGTCGGCGGCGCCCCGCGGCGGGGAGGTGGCGCGGCTGGAGGGTCCGCGCATGCGTGTTGGGGGCTGGCGAGTGGCGGGCGTCTGCCGGGCCGCGGTGCCGCTGCTGCCCTCGTCCTCCTGCTTCCCATTCCTTGGACGGGCTGTGGAAATGGAGCGGTCAGATGCTGCAGCGCGCGCTTTTAGGGACTTGGGTTCCTAACGGGCTCAGTTCCTGATCCAGCAGATGTCCAGCTTTTGTGCTGTGCAACCCGACACGGGCAGGCATCTGTTCCAGTGGAACAAGGCCGGGGCGGTGTGTTTTTGTGGAGCGCCTGTGGTGTACAGCGGGGGCTGTGCTATATATCTGCCAGTGCATGTATACAACATGCACCACACCTGTGGGAGGCGAATGGCCTGTCTGACCTGCTGCTAAGGAATAGAGAAGGAATCAGCCGTTTCGGGGTTAGGGTCACAAATGTGGTTAGTTAAACCACAGGTTTTCCAGGGCACTATTTTTGGTGTGGAAGAATAACTAAAATGAGATAACAGCTCTAGTGCTCTGTTTGAGTGATGAATCCTACTTTAGGTAAACTCTCGTGGACATCATGTTCTAGCAACAGAAGACATGGAGAATGTGGAGAATTTGGTGATTTTTCCAGTACGTAAAAGTAATCAATGACTTGAAGCCTTTTTTTCTCTCCCCATTCAGAATCCTTGATTTTTATTTTTTATTTTTTTTTTTGTGAAAGTAGAGCTTTTCTATCTGTTACCATCAAATTGAAGATCATTCATCTGCTTTCTCCATTGCCTTGTGGTTTTTTTTTTTTTTTGCTTTTTTTTCATTCATGTCCATGTTCTCTGTCCGAGGTTAAAAAATTGTGTTGCAGAATAACTTGCATGTTATTTCCAGCAGAATTTGAGATATTATCAAGTTATGTTGTGAGCTGACGTCAGTCGTCAATGAAAATCTCCTTTCCGTTAAATTCTGGCATTGCTGGAAAGCCCACTTTGTTGACTTAAGTTTTTAGCAGCATACTGTGTATTTTTCCTCCCTCCGTATGTTTGTTCACCACTGCCATCTCTTGGATAGAAGCAGGCATGCTGAATGCTCATCATAACGTGTTCTCTATGGCTGGTTTTGTAAGGAGTGTGCAAGCTCTGCTGTATGTGCCCCTCAGAGGAGAGTTGTCTTGGAAAACATAGGCACTGGGAGTCTGAAGCAGACACTGACCTCTGTATTTTTTTCTTACAGTTACAGATTTATCTTACAGTCAAGATTTAATGATCGTTTCTATGCTTTTTTAGTTTCCTATGCAAACTAGGGCCTACATGGTTTGACGTCTTCCTACCTTTAGCTACTAAAAATTGAATATATCAGCCAGTTTTAGGCAAGTTTGAAAGCAGGACAGAAGCCTTAAAAGCAATTCTATTCCTATATATTTACTAGACATTGCATACAGAGTGAAACAGACTGTGATAGGTGGAAACTCTGTTGTTCAACTTTTTGTTTGGCACTAGTCCTCTAGTCGAGTGATCCCATATATACGGGCCAGCTGGCCTCTCTGTATGCTGAGTTAACTATAGGATGCTGTCCCTTCAGGGTAGAAATGTCAGAAGAGACAGTATGAGTTTGGTTTTTTTGAGACTGATGTTATTGATAGTTAGTTAAGTCAAGTGAAGTTACCCACTTGAAAGTGGCCAATTGTTTTTTTTCCTCAAAATGAAGTGACCTTGTATGCTCAGTACTCTGGAGCCACCATCTCTTAAGCCATCTATTGAACCAGTTTTCTTTCTTTTTCCCTAAAATGTATGTTACGGTATGTTGACCTACAGTTGTGAAGGTGCTGTTTTTGACCAAGAATTATTCCAAAAGCTGGGTGAAGAGCCTTGTAATGGGTAAAACAACTGTTTCCTGAAATAATTAGTCAGAAAATGTTACAGTCCTTCTATTTACATGGAGATGTTTTGGACATTTTCAGGCAAATGCATGTATTGCACAAAATAAAAACCCTTCAGTTTGTAAGATCATTTTTTTTTTTTCTAATGTGTACAACATGCTTTATAACAAACCGATCAGAAAAAATAGGTAAAAATGTGGCAGGCTGAGAGGAACTTTTGTGTATAAACAGCAGAGCAGCTGCTGTAATTCATGTAAAATCTTTAATGAAACAACTTTCACCCAAGTATGTATTCTCATATCTGTTTTTCTGGTTGATATTATTGTAAATAACTACTGTTATTATTGATGTTGCTAAAATGGTAACATTCATTAAGAAGTCTGTCTTTTATGTAGCTTTGGAATTTAAAAAAACCCTTTCTGTTTTGAAACTTAGTGGTAAATTCCACCAATTTCTGTGCTTTAGGACCGAATAGTGAAATTATTTTTAAAATTATAGGAATTTGGAATATATTAAGTATTCTCTATAACAATATGTTGTTCTGTCCCAATAAGTTTGTGGCTCTTTTGAAAGTATTTAAAACTTAGTAAGACTAATCATAGATGTAATTAATAAGATGATTAATCAGTGCTGTGCATAGGCTGGACTTTTACTTATTTGTGCATTTTAGTATAGACATAGTGATTTTTAGGTGGCTATGACAACTGATATACAATAATCATTATTTATATCTCTGATACAAAAATACTCATGAGTATTATAATCATAAATAGAAAAATCTACATTAACGTAATATTTATAATTTGAGTCTTCTAAACACTAGAATTTTTGAGTTAGAGTCTCTAACTTCTTTGAAGGGGTCTTTTATCTGTAACAGTAAGAAATGGACTTATCAGATTTACCCTATTTGCAAGACGTTTCTGTTAAATTTTTAAACTGTCAATCTGTGGTTGCAGATTTATGACATTTGACTTGTGTGTATGTATATGTTGTTGTTGGTTTTGGGTGCATTTTTAACTTCTAATAGAAATTCTGCAGATAAGTAATGCCCTGAGTTATAGCTGTATAAACTTACTAGTCATTAATTGTGTAGATGCTATTGGTAACAATATAAATACTTGCCTAGATATAGTCTGCACTGCATCAGTTATGATAATCTAAGAATGTAAAAGTCCACTGAGGATTTTGTGATTCTTTCAGAGGAGTAAATTTTTTGCACTTGGAAAGCAGGCAAATTGGATGTTTTTGAATGTGCTGTTTTAGTTTGTTTAAAACATAACAACAACAACAAAGTAGTTGAAAGTTGGAAATTAGAGCAGTACTAACAGGCTTCTGTATAGGCAGAATAGGAAAAAGCCCTGGAGAACTGAACAACTTTATTGTCATATGTAAGATATGTTAGAAATGGAAATAGCACTCCAGGCATCTGAATCCTGGAGCCAAACTGCAGGATTGACCTTTCTCCCTGCTGGTAGATTTCCTGGATATGTTAAACTTATAAAACTAGATTAACTCTGTGATAGTATTGAAATATTCCATGCAATTGGTGTAATAAGAGTATCTTGATACACGTCTAAATCAATATATGTGGAAGTCCAAGTAGGACTGGCCAGGAGATGTACCACTATCTAATACTGTTTTCATATGTTATGCCTTAAAATTGGTCATCTACCATCAGGTGGCCCTAACTGATAAGGAACTCTCCTCCCATGTAGTACCAAAACTATACAGCTTTAATTTCTTACCATGGGTGGCATTGTTAGATTGTTACTGTTCTTATGAACAGATGAGACAAAAAATCCTACTGATAAATCACAGGATTCACTATTAGCACAATAAAAAGCACGCAGGCACAGAATATGCAGGAATAATTGACTTAAGAATTCCCCAGATGAGTGCCTCGCAGGTTTTGATGTCAGTGCTGTGTCTCCAGTCTAGCTGCCTGCACAGTCAATTGTTCCTGTAGTTCAAGTTTGACTGAGTGAATCACTGAAAGCCTTTGCTCTCTATGTTTCTGAGGAACTTATCTCTTCTTATTTGCAAAGAATGAATGGGCTGATTTAATGCCTGTGAATAGCATGAAACCTTGTCAATGGACTCAAGGGACAAATGTCTGTGGGAGTGTGTTAAAATAATGTACAACAAAAAGGTGTAAATGTTGATGTGGGTATCATGAAGTTATTTTTTATTCTTCTGAAGAATACATTTTTCTTTTTCTGTCAGGTGTACTTAGTGCCATAAATACATCTTTATTCAGAAGATTTTTTTTTTCTTTTTTTTTTTTTTTTTTTTTTTTTTTTTTTACTCTGAGGCCATTTCTGGGTGTGGGTAATTGAGGAAAGGGGACAGAAATGTCTGACTGGCAGGTTTTTCTTAGGCCTAAAAGAATTGTTCTTTCATTTGCAGACTCGCTCATACTGTCTGTGGACTATGTGAATGCTTTTCTCAGAATTACTGTGGCCTCAACTGATGTTAGAATAAACATGTATGTTTTTACTTACACTTACCACACTGAATCCATACAAAATAGAGCATGTGTCATAAAATCTGAAAATACTTTCCATGTTTGTTATGTGGTCATTTTCTTTTGGGCATAATATTGCCCTTCACCTCTGCAACTCTTGTGCTGTATTATTATTCTGTGTTTGAAAATCTTAAGTTGAAAAGTAGCCTATACTTGAGGAAATCCTTGACAAATAGTTATGGTTAATGGATTAGAAAATACGAAGCCCATGTCTTTTACTTCCTGTCATTTGTTTTCTTAGTGACTTCAAGCAAGTTGTTTGTGCCTCTGTTTCCTTGCAATTAGCATGGTTATCTAAAAATACTTTAACACTGTAGAGTTGAAGTTTCAGTTAAAGGAATCTTCTTCGTTACTACATACTACTTACTACTGTAAATATTAGAGGTTCTTTTTTCAATAAACTTTTTAAGAAGAATGATTCACTTTGTAGAAGCAAGTCAATTTTATGGACTGCACAATTAGCACTGTGTATCATTACCATAAGCGAT